CCCTGCCAGCTCCCAGATCAGCTCCTCTCATTGGTTGATGTCCAGCAGCTGCTGCTTCTGAAGCTCATCAGATGCTAAGAAGCTCATGATGCGCTGCTCCTGCTGCTAAAAACGAGCTGCAGGACCTTTTGATGCGCGTCAACCATCAACTTAGCATGTAAACGAGCTGCTTCTGCTGCTTTAGGCGTAAACGTAGCATTAGAGGTGATCGGAAATATTCTTTCATTTCTACAAAAGGAATCTATTCATTTTATCCAGAATAAATATTCGATTATCTTACTAATTATTTTGGGATAAAAACCCGGAAGAAAAGGCAGTTTGAATATTTCTGTCTCCTTTTTTTATCCATCTAATCAGGGAGGAAATGTTTCCTTTTTTGGTCATAAAATGTTTTCTCTATTTCCTATTTTTAAAATTAGTTTTGGGTTTTCATGACATCATTAGGGAGTTTTATTATGTAGACTATATTAAAATGAATGAAAAAATAAGGTGGGTGCTGTCATGGGTGAAACGGTTAGTTTGTTTATCAGGTGTTAAAATTACTGCTAATATTTTCTGTATTTTTCTCTCAACAATGATTTCTGTTGGTGCCGCTTCATCCTGAGTGGAGCTAAAAATTACCGTAATGCCAGTTAAGTTTTTTTTATCAACTAAAGATGGGAATAAATGGTGTCGGGGGATTTATTGTTAAATATTCCAAAATGCTGGAATTATAAAAAATATTCTGAAAATAAAGAAAGTCTTTGCCTTTTTATTTTGACTTAATAATCAGCCCAGAATATTTGTTTATTGATTTTTTTAAGGCCTTTTGTGCCTCTTTGATCTAGCAGATGAAAACTGATCCTTTCTCTCTGCAGCTGAAGTTAAAATGACGCTTTTATCTCTGAAGGATCAAACTATTAAATTGGTGAGTTTCAGCAAATAACATCAGAAGAAGCTGATTTATTCTATTTTCAGTGCAGGGGCCAGGAGCAGGGGTACGGCCCCCTGTTGGCCCCTGCCTAGAACCGCCCTGGGGCCCCTTTAAAGTCCAAAGCTCTCCTGGACAAACAGAAAACTTGTAGATTATTTTCCCATCAGATCATAAACTTCCTTCCTGGAGTCAGACTGTAAAACATGGCTGAACTCTGTCACTGCTTAGATCCTCCTGCTGCTCCTTTAAGTGTTTCCATGGTAACCTTTCTCCCCCTCAGAAGGAGGAAGCCAATGAGAGGAGGTCCATCAATGAGCTCCAATCATGTCCAGCTGCTGTGAGGATCCTATAAAGCAGCTCCTATCTGAGGTCTGTCCTTCACTGCAGCAGCAGCAGCTCCACTTTAACAGCAGCTTCAATCCTGGACTCAACATGTGTTGCTAGAAGCTTCTGCTCTGAATGCTGCTGATCATCTGAACCTCCATGTTTCTGCAGGATGCTGTGGATTTCTTTCCTGCTGATTGGAAGCATCACCTGTGCTCCTCCAGGTGAGCTTTAATCCCACATGGAGTCTGGAATGTTCTGTAGATGTTTGCTCTGACTCTGAGCTGCTTCCTCAGCTGCTGGAGATGAACGGCTGCCATGGTGGTCTGGAGCTCCATCCACTCAGCAGGGACCATCCCAGCCAGTCTCCCACTTCCCCAGTGGACACATCAGCAGGTTTCCTGGTTTTCCAGGATTCGACTCGGTCGGTGGCGGCGGCGGTTTTCCTTCTGGGGCCCAGCAGAGCAGCCAGCATGGAGCTCCAGCTGACAGCAGCTCCCTGCAGGTTGGAGAGGAGAGCTATAGCTCCTCATCTGATCCTGGTGAGGATGAGCCAGAGTTCACTCCTGTAAATGACCACGATGTGGTTTACACCAAGAAGTCCAGATCCCGCTACAGCCGTAAGCGGTAGCGGGTCGCTACGTTCCACTACGACCCAACCCAGTCGCTGGCTGTCCGTCCACCAGCGTTCCCCTTTCCAGGAGCGAAGGTTGGTCATCAAGATCCAGCGACTCGTTCCTGAAGGTCTGAGCTTTGCTTCAGGCGTTTCCTTCAGGTTCTGCTACGGATCCCATTCTGGATTTTTATTCTCAGGTTGAAGAGAAGCTGCTTGTAACGAGTTAAATAAACGGTTTTCAATCCAACTCGCTTTACTCAGATCTTTAGAGGCTCTAATGGTGAAGCTGCTGGGAGGCCTGGATGGACCAGTAAGCAGCACTGGGTCAGAGAACTGAAATGTTCGGGGTTAATGGCAGGTGGGCGGGGCCCAATGTTCGGGAGCTAAATGGGACTTCATCTATAACCATGGAGGGAAAAGCTGGATGGAAGCATCTTTCCATGAAGCTGCTCTGCACTGAAGGAATCTGTTTAAATTAAACTCTTAGCAGCCAGTTAGTCTAAAGTTAAAAATATTAAACAGCCTGAATGTCATTTTGTTGGCATATCATCCCAGCTTGTTCTCAGCCTGACATCAGCTTTGAGGGAAGCAGCTGGGTTAGCTTGTTGCTTCTGATGGTGTAGTTGCATGTTGTGCAACCAGCTGGGTGTTTATTTAAATCCAGCCGGTATCTCTGCTCTCCTTCTGCAGCCTTAGAGGACCAACGTTCTACAAACGGATGTGAAGAGAAGAACAGATCCCAGCTTTACCTGAAACCTGCCCAGTCAGGGAGACGTGGGCTTGGAGAAGGTCATGGACTCACCAGGCCTGAGGTTTCCTCCTGAGCAGCCCGTGTCTCCTCCACTGAGAGTGGGGGCTGAGATGGTAGGTCAGCTGACGGCAGACCTTCTCCATCGCTCCCAGAGAATCTCCTTCCTGTTAAACAGAAACGCACGGAGGATGAAACCAGCTTCTGTTTTCATAGCTCACCTCGGCTTAAATTCAACATGTCAGGCTGTGACTCCTGGATTCAACTAAAGGTCACTGATGCAGACGGCTTCAACCGATTGGTGTTCCAGCTTCTATCAGCAGAGCATCCAATTAATCCATCCATGCATTTGTTACTTCAAGGCTGGACTATTGTAATTCTTTACTATCAGGAAGTCCACAAACTGTAGTTAAAAGCCTTCAGCTGATCCAAAAT